CGTGATTTATCAAAATAAAATCTTATCCAAAATGGATGTGAACAGAGGCTTAGTATTTCCGTCCAATATAAATCAATCAGTAGGAAGTAGAATGTAACTTGAAGAGATAATAATCGTAGGCATTGGACAAAAGGTAACTCCTGTGCTCTAGTGGCCTGGTGGATAACTGGGTTCTAGTCTCTGTGGGGTCGGCATCTAACTGACGGGACCTAAATAGGATGGAATGAGCACCCTAAATTCCACTGTTAGCCATCATGAACCAAATAACTGTGGCACTACTTTCTACCTTTCGAAATGTTTAATGAGAATCTACAGTGTGTATTGAAACTAATTGTAGCTAATACTGAATGACATATCTGAGTACAACAAAAAGTTGCATAACTTCTGTATTCCTGGTTGATTATTTTATCCCAAATATTGTTTATTTGCATTTGAATATTTGTTTATTTAACTAAGATGATATTTTACTTGTTTGATCCGAAAACAAAATTTGAATTGATTTAATTTTGTGTATATTTCTACTTAGGAATACATCTGTCACCATTTGCTCCACTTTTCTTACATCAACAAATAAATATATAACTACAAAACCATAAGATTGATTGAAAAAAGTCTTTTTTTTAATGTGTTAACTATTTGTTCTAGTGGTGAATATTATCAGTAATAAATTATTACAGTTTGAAACTAGTAAAATAAATAAGAAGTATATATATGTATATACTTAAGACATATAAATCTTCAGAGAAAAGAGGCAAAAAGATGAACAGAATGGTTAGACTGAGTCTGAAGAATGTAGCGTGCATGTACACGCACGCACTCTCTCTCTCTCACACACACACACACGAGAACACATAGCTGTATATATTGGTTAGGTAAATGTTTAACATTATTACTGTTACAATCTTCATCATCATCATCACCGTCGTCATTCTTATTATGCCTGTTGTTATTACTGTCAAAAAATTCAGTACCAGTAACCAACATCACAGAAAGTAACAGCAGAAGCTACATAATAATAATAATAATAACAACAACGACGACACGACTGTGACTATAATTTGAAGTAATCTTAACAGTAAATCAGTATCCTATACTCCCTGTGAGTGTATGTGTTTTGTATTGTATTGACACACCCAAATTATATGCTTTAAAAAATTATTTTGTCCTAAAAATATCTACAGCTTTAAAGGAGTGAAACAGGGCAAAAATAAAGGCAAAGGTATCTTTTGACAGCAATGAAAGCAGAGAAAAAAAAGTAGGAAAATAATTAAATATTCTTGAAGTGTAGCATTGCATACAGGAAGGCAAAAAGAAAAGCAAATATTACTATTAATATTACTACTATTATAAACTATTCGCTTCAACTTAAAAGAAATAGATAGAAAGTTAATTATAAACTTACTGGTAAAGAAGTAAAACAGAAATAAGAATGAATCTTTTACAAGATTACTTGATTGTTAGATAAGCTTTAGTTTAAAATTGTCAAATGTTTGATAATTCTTCTAAAGATTATTTAATGAGTAAGTGATTTCATATGTAGGGAATTTCAGTTATCGAATCAAGTGAAATTTTGAAATTAAAAGTTAATGAAGTGAGTATACGTGTAATTGATTAAATGATTTTAGTTTTTACTCGATTGAATGACTTTCTTTTTTATTTTAAATGCAGTAAAATCGCTCATCATTAAAAAGGTGTTTCTATTTCATTCTTAATTTGATTTAATCAGCCATATCTACCTTTAACTTTGAATCGGATTAAAAGTAAGAGGCTTGTTTAAAACTTCAACTACTTGAAACCTCCACCAGTATATTCCATGTGATTGCTCTCGATCAGTTTCTGGAATCTAATAAAATATGACCTGTGATAGTATTATTTACTCTGACCAATATTTAAGGTGAATGCACCCTGCAGATTCTCATTTCTGCAGCTATCTGGGCAGTCTTTCCAGTTTCGTACATTGTACGAACATTCCACGTCCCCATCCTTATTTTTGCTTTCATCGAAATAAGGCACATTGGCTGACTGGCTTCCCGAAGGCTTTCACCAGCCTGCGTCATTTCACTTCCTCGATTCCAGCTAAAAATAAGGTTATTGTTTATATTTTTAGTATTTTTAATATATTTATTCGTTGAAGTTTCTGGTTAAGTTTTGTGGGTGGATTTGCTAGCGCCACTCCCCAACCCTCCCTCTTTATCCGGACTTGGGACAGGCTAGAAAACTAGCGAGCTAGTAATCTAGGCAAGGAGACGTGAAGTTGAAGCCCTTTGTTCCACTAGGAACTCAAGTTTCTACTTAACATCAGAAAAAAGCATTATCCTGGGTGGCAACGTATCCCAATACACGAGATAAGTGTTCCTAAGTTGTGTTCATGGTTCTATAAATATACTCCTGAGCCTTTTAAAATTGGCATCCAACCAATTAGCCAGCATTTCTGGGAGACTGAGAAGAGATAACAGAATGGATTGGTTTGCATTTCAGGTCAAATAGAACTATGTTATGCAATCTAATGTCAATTAATATTTTATTTGAATATCCTGGGCGGAAAGAAAATATCATACAATAAACTCCACGAAAATTTTGTGTATTACATAAAAACTTTGCAGAATAGAGCTTTTATTATTACTGTTAAGCAACCTATAACTTTTAACCACACTTTCAAGTGGGTTACTGGAAGAAATATCTGTTCATTGTCATGTATTCTTGGTGATGTTAAGTACATGAACAGCTTGTCAGTTAAACTTCGATTACTTTGAATCTTTTTCACCCGTAACTTTAATATCTTTCATCATACAGGATCCAGCAGCTATTAAAAAGACAAATACTGGTATAACTGAATTCAAACTAAGTTATTATGGCATCGGCTAAAACCAACATGTATTGGGAACACGGTTTCCATTCTTTCCTACAAAACCCCGGTAGCTCACGCTTAAACTTCTTCTTAGGTACCAATTAAGCATCGTGATATTTGACAGTTAACGAATGACTACTAATCATATCATGTCGAAATGCAATAATGGAAAGATATATACTAACGGTGATTCACATAATAATACCACTGCTATTCACTTTCTTTGGTCGCTGACTTTTTCATAGCTAACTTCAAAATTACACTTATTGATAACCGCATGAAAATAATCACTATCTAAGGAATCGTCAATGAGTAGCGAGTCGTTATTCATATAAAGTAGAATTTAAAAATCTAAATCCTTCAAAAACTATATTTTACTCATTGCAAGGCTTTACAGCACTTTTAACACTTTTCTGTCCAATAACAACCACGTTAGTATCAGCTCATGATACCCTTTATTTGGTTTATTAACTCATGCAACTTTATCATGTTATTGGGTTACTAATAAAATCACTGAACTTGATCAAGTGGACCGGAAAAGGCCCTTATTTTTACATAGTAGGAATAGTCTCTTTTGATAGGCTACATTCTTTGCTGCCGAATTTTTATCTCAGTTAAAACGATCTTATGGGAATGTGATGGAATATACAAAGAGGATGGGACGGAAATGGTAATCAAAGTATGCAGTTATTCCATTTCATTTCATTGAAGTACGCAATGTAAAAACACTTCCTTATATAAATCTGGCTAAAATACATTAATTGGCAAGTTTCATTCGTTTGAATATTATCAACTTGTATTCAACTGAGGCATATTTCACGTGTTATTTCATTCCTGATTAGGTTCATTGCTCATGAGTATTTAAACTGAAATGTTTAAAATAATAGACTTATCACACAGGTAATAATTTCATCAAGACTCTGTACTATAGAGCGAGGAGAATATGCTCTATAGAGAAATTAGAGGAAGAATTTGAGTTTCTTGAAAAGATATTGAAGAGCACTGGGTACCCTCATAGGTTCATCAACAAGTATGGAAGATTTGAAGTCACCAATGTAAAACAAATCACAGTGGGTAAAAAGCCAATCTGCATTCAGCTTGATTATAAAGGTGAAAACATTGCAGCAATGATCAACAGAAGGCTGAAGATATCACTAGCCATAGCCTATCCTGCAGCTAAGCTCGTTCCCATCTATCGAACAACTTGCTCTTTGGTGCAATCAAAAATCAATAGATATCCTACTCATGTTAACTCCAACTGTATCTACAGATGTACATGTATCTGTGGGAGCAGTTACAATGGAAGGACAGAAAGAAGGGCATATCTACAATTTTCTGGACATGTACCAAAAAGATTACGTCTATAGGGAACAAATGCTTTAAACAGTGCCATCGCCAGGCATCTCCTCGACACAGGTCATGCGGTGGATGTCGAAAAGTCGTTCAAAATTATCAATAGGCAAAAGAGCTTAATTCGCTTCAAGTTTGCTGAAGCCATTTCCATCAAGCGCCTGAAACCTGATCTACGCGTCCAGAAAGAAGCGATTATTGGTCTTTCTTTTTCCTGGCAACAAGATATTTTCATCTATTATTCATCTGAATGCGAAGTGCTAAAACGTTACCACTGTGTATGATTATTATTGTTCGGAATAGTGTTTAATATTACATATATATATGTATATATTATTACTGTATGCATATATTGATCGATTGATTTTTGTTTAAAATGAACTCTTTGCAAGTATGTTAAAATTGTTTTTGTAGATATATTTAATAATGTCTTTGGCCTGTAAGCAGCTGACGAGAAGGCGACGAAATAAAGGATGGTACCAATTTATTCTGCTAAAACTGTATTTTTGGTTTTTTCAAATTCATTAAGGGGAATAAATGTATGAAAACTATTGTAATCCTTTCCAATGTTGACAGCTGCTTCAGTGCAATTAGTACAGGACTATGTTACTCAAAGAGAGACTTGGTTATATGACTCACTCTGACGAAGAAACAAGTTATTTTTCTCAAAAAGCCCTACACTGATAACCCACTTGGTCTGATTAACAAAAGGAAAGCTGTCAGAAGGCAAAAGCATTTAAATCAAAGTAAAATAAAACCAGCTGAATATAAATTATTATGATTATATTGTACTTCAACTTACAAGTTCATATTTGAAGCGTGACAAGTAGCTGAGTACACGTCCACGCATTGCAAGTTCATTACGTCTTGTCCAACCAAGCCAATCTCGATTTAATCTTTTACTATGTTCACGAATTAATAATTCATGATAGGGACGAAAAAAATTTATCTGAGTTGATAGATATGGTATTCTATTCCCTCGATACTGTATAAAATTTTGTTTTAGGTAATTAGTCGATGTTGATGATTTTTTTGATATAACTCCTGTAGGTTTATACATTTGAATTAATACTAAACCAAATAATAAAATAAGTACAGTTAAACCAACAATAGAGCTAATATAGTGTGATTTACGACAGCATGCAGTTCGTACGCCTAGCATGCAACCTGTATTTTGTTCAATACCAAAAGATGAAGTCGGTGGCAGACTCAATGGTGGCCCAATTGAAATTAATGAATTGTATGGAAGAGATTTACACGGCATATTAGATAACTGTGAGTATGTAGGACATGGTTGGAAATTTTCTTTTGATTTATCTGTACACTGAGATTGCATAATGTTATTAGACATAATCGGTGATACTGTTTCTGAGGACTGAGAATTTCTCGGAACTGAAGGTGAACATGATGATTGAAATAACGCCTGGAAAAAGAAGGTGAAATATTCATTTAAATTACTCTGATAAGTTATGCAAATGCGTACACAACAAATTCTAGCACCCAATATATATTATATATGTATATATTTATCACGTAGCCCAACTGTTTAGTCATTTCAATGTTCCACTTTACTTTTCTTATTAAAATCATTCTTCTATGATTTTGCGTGAATATAAAAAGTCATTTATATGAGGTTGGAAGACCGCTAAGGTAGTGAACTGGGAAACTTTTCAAATTCTTGCGAATACCTAACTTTCAAGGATTAGTTTTTGTCGGGATTTTTGTTTGATTGGTTGAAGGTGTTCACGCTATGTCGTGAACTGAGAGAATTTAGAAATCATGGGTCTTTGGTTCGGGTCGCGGTGGCTTAATGGTCTACGAGCTCGCTAGCCTTGAAACCAGAAGGTCCTGAGTTCGAATCCCCGTAGCTGCGTACTTTGAAGAGCCCCGAATTAGGATGAAACAGCTGTCCAGTACTCTCAGGTTTTCCAATGGTTCTTTAACGGATGTTAGCTCACGATGAAATCCTTCAACTAATATCTAGCTGTTGTGTGATTACTGATGGCATCCCAGTGTTCTTTAATTCAAACGAGGATGTGCTAATTATAATAATATGCTATTTCACAACCATCTGTAGATATTATCTTAGACTTCCATGTCAGTAATCACTAGTAACTCCTTTTAGCGAAGTAGTCGTTAACTGTTGTGGAGATAAATCTTTTACTAAAGTTAAGTAATTAAGCAAATGCTTTAACGTTTTTACTCGCTTCAAAAAGCATAGCAGATCGAAATTATATGGTTTGTTCCATGAATTAAAGTAGAAAACTAAACACATGTTGAGTGAAAGTGCACATGTGAGGAAATATTCTTCTGCTGACATCTTTTACTAAGTATTCAGTTTAATATATATCACTCGACTTCACAAATCTCTTCAGCAGTGAATCATCCATCACTAAGGCGAAATTGCTGTAAATTTACAAAATTACACTACTGGTCAATAATCGTAAACTTACCAATGTGTTTCTATTGTTTATTGAACATTGGAGTTTATTTTATTTTTAGTTTACGAAATGTCTAAGTTAAGTAACATATACAATGTACATACAATGGATTAACCTAAATTAATGACGGAGACGGTAATAAGTTATCCATAAGTCGTGAAGAGGAAACCAATGTATTATTTTCGTCGTGTACGCTAATCTACGTCAGTGTCAGTGACTGGTAGACTTTGACATTTTTGATTTCCCCCATATTTACATCTTTACTGTCACAACAGAGACAGTCATCTACTGGGCTAATCCTCATTCCATATCATATCATAACTTGCTAATTTTACAAATTTGTAGGTAAAAAGTAACTGTCAAAACAAATAATTCTATCAACACAAGTAGAATAAAAGTCATAAAATAAACAGACAGTTTTTTGTCTTCACAGTATAAAAAATTTATTCAATTTATGTCTATCGTCTATTAGTTCTACTGCAGTGTATTGCTGTTATTTTGTTTATTGAATCAGCGCACTGAATTGATTACAAGAACAAGAATACAGTAAGGTATGATTTATTAGCAGTGATTTTTGTTACTGTTATTGTGAATATTATTATTACTGTGGGAATAATAAATATTTTAGACAAATGTTCTATTTATCATTTGACAGTGGATTAGTGAAAAAGAAGGGAACATATAATGATGACAACGCCTGGATGAAAAATACTAAAGATAACAGAGACAGTTACATTTTGATAGTTTATTTTCGTTTAGTTATAACTGCGCAATTATAAAAAAAATGAGAGTGGAGTCTTTTAATATGTAAAAATAGTGTCAACTAAAATCTCTATTACAACAATACTTATTTTACTCAATTCTAAAAGGTTCAAAATTATGAATGAAGAGTATCATCAGAACATTGTCCAAAAAATACTTACCGGCATAGTTTTCAAAAAGAGAATGCAGAACAGTCAACAGTTCATTTCTGGAGCACATTTTATTGCTACTAGTTAAGCATCATTAGATACGTCATTCAGGGTCATATATAAAGTATGACCATGCCATTTCTCTTCATGTATCCGGAGTTTAGCAATCCATAAGGAGAGACTTGAGCTTTATCTTCAGAAACATATTATCTGGCTTAATTAATCACCGTGACCTTAGTGTGAATTCTCTTTCCCTAAATAGCTGTATACTGGACTCCATATAATCGTTTTTAGTTTTCAGTTTTTTTCCTTTACGTTCCCCAGTGGAACATAAGGCTTCAAGCTAGTGGCTTGAAGTTTCTGTAGCAGTGTTTATTTTACAGGATGGGGTTCCTAGCCTCATGCCGTTTTTTTTTTCCTAATTAACAATAACCCATGAACTCTATTATTGGCTAACATTGTATATCTAAACCACTTAAATAACTGTACAGCTTTGAAGTGAAGTTACACAAAGAAATCTATTTGATGATCTATGTGTTCTTAATTACATTACATGGGAATTTTTCATAACTTGAAGAGTGTTCACATTGTCAGATGAGGGAATACTTAGTGGATCAGTCTGTTTCGCAAGTTAAGAAACAAAAATTCTTTATCTTGACAGTATTTTGTTCGACATAACTGTATGTGGAAGAGTATGTTTCCAAATCTAGTGTACTAATTAGCCCTTGCACATACATTCGCGTGATACTTTTTGACAGGTCTAGAAAATCTCGACATAGAAAAATATTTATGTCTAATGTCAGATGAACACGAAAGTGTAAAGGCGAAAACTATTTGACCGAGGAAGCAGCAGAGACAAGAATTCACGTGAACATAGAGAATACAAAGAGAATGTAGACAACCAGCCAACCAACAACAACAAGCAACTGTTATTGCAAAAGAATAAATTTTAAATAAGTGACTTCCTTCACTTGGTTAGACAGCATCGGTTCAATTAATGGCGAATAGCATGGATGACGATATCAAAGCGAGAACCGGAAAGGCAAGATAGACCTTCATCACTCTGAAATCAGTGTGGAAATCTGCTTCACTCAGCATGGGGAACAAAATTCAGATTTTCAACACCAGTTTTAAGCCATTTCTTCTATAAAGGTTCAGAGAATTGGCAAGCGCATAACGAAAAGCATTTCCTACAGGCTGCTGCAAACTTTTATCAATAGCTACCTCCTTAGGATTGTTACTGAAAATCAGATAGAAAAAATTAACAACAAGGAACGCAGGAAACAAAGAGGCCTGCTTAAAATCTAAGCTAGTGAAAATTCCATCTGTCGCATATATTTTTACTCGTTTGGTTTGATTTAATCGGTTAAGATACGGCCTCTTATGATACTGTTTACTCTTGTGTGTATTTAAAATATTTACAAGTACCGGATTTGCAAGATTCTACTGAATTTGAGGAGTGGCCTGATTATGGGTGAAAACGAGCTCCAATATATGAGATAACTCTAAACAAAATTTATTCTTAGTAAGAATTTGAGAATTTAAAACCATAGCCTCTTTTGATATTCGATGGAGTAATTTGCCAACATCACATGATGAAATACAGTGCTTCACATATAATTGTCAGAATAATTTTTCCTGTTGAAATACATGTCAGACGAAAATTATTTAGGTTATTACATTTTTGATTGACAACCTAATTATTTATTCAAATAAATGCAACTGATGAGATTCGTTATTTATTGATGACATTTTCAGTAGAGTTTGTAGTTCTAAATCATATAATTTTCAGATTTCGTTTACTTGAAATTAAAACAAACTGGTGGCCTGCTTAAAGCTCGAGCCATCAAACACTTCCATCTCTCTATCGGATATATTTTCTCTCATTAGATTTCTTGTAATCGGTTAAGATATGGCCTCTTATGGCAATGTTCACTCTTGTGTGTATTTTAAATGTTTACAAACTCCTGATTTGCAAGTTCCTCCTGAACTTGAGGAATGGTCTGATTGTGGGTGGAAAAGTGTTCTAATACACGAGATAACTGTTCTTCGATTATGTCAGTGGGTTTCGGAATCTCCTTCTGAACATCTTACAGTCGTCTTTCAACCAGATATCGTGGATTTGTTGAGGGAGGCAGAGCAGATATATCATCATAATGGAATGGTTTGTGCTTTAGCTCAGAGACCATTGTGTCACAGGATATACTGCCAGTTAGTATTTTACTTGATGATATTGTACGAAGTAAAAATATCATGACATTATTATAAACTCCTCTGAAAATTCTGTACATTTCATAAATACTGTCCAGAATAAAGATGTTTTTATTATTATTATTAAGAACCTGTTTCTCAGTAAATGTGCTGACGAAAATGCGGATGGACTAGAAACACTCTAAGAAGAATATTGGGTGAAATCATGAGCTAGACAGACTGCTGAGTGGAACTCAAATAGGTCTGAGGGTGAAATGGAGGAGATCGTGTAAGAAGAAGATGATAGCCTATTGCCAATTGTAGAACCAGCTTAAAAGGACTGTAGAGAACCGGATAAAATGGACGTATGCAGCTGAAGCCTTATATTTCATTTGGAACTCACGGGAATAATGACAAATAATGCCTTGAAACAGTCAACTGAAAATTATATGTGTTCAAGTCCGAGTTCCACAACTTCACAGAATATATTTGTAAAAGTCAAAACACCTAAAATATCAATTTTGATTTATTCAGTTAAATTTCTATCAGGACAGTATATTTTCTTTACAACTAATTAGTTGTCAAGTGAATTTTTCTCTTCTGGATAGTTTCATTCTTATTATTCATTTATTTATATTTCCCCACCGTTGGTGTTCTTGTCATAATGTATTATGAAGTTTAAATGGACTATGCATCAAAATTATTTCAATTGTGCCTTTTCAAAATTAAAAATTAATTCATCTATTTCAATTCAACAGCAAGACGACGTCGTGATTCCATTTTTTTTTTCATTTCACACGAGTAATTTTCACTGAAAATTGTGTTTAAAATGAACTATATATACGAGCGGAGTTATGATAATTGAATGATTAGACTTAATTCATTCTTTGTCTGGTGACTGAAAAAGTCAAAAAAAAATGGTTGTTTGTATTCAGTGATTATCTCAGTCACTGTTGAAATCATCGTCAAAGATAAATGTCAGTTGTTCATATTTTATTCGAAATTATTAAGCTAATAGTCGAAAATTAAATCTGACGTTGATGTTTCCAATATGTACACTAGCGAGAAGACGACATTTTTTACTGTTCAGTGTGATGTAATTATGAAATTTGGGTTGGCCAGTATGTCAGCAATTTTGTTGTTGAATATACACAGTCTTTTAAGCATCTAGCATCATTTGTCACAATATTCTGACAGGCATCTCGGTAAAACTTAACTTATGGGTTTTAGTTTGACAAGTTAAACAGAAAGTACTCTATTATGTTTTGTATAACGTTCATTCATAATAACTTAATTACTGCAGCGATAATAAATTCACAATATCGAAGCTGTACAAAAACCAGTGACAGTTACAGTTATTTAAAAGCAAGTTGACCTGATGCCAGTTTTTATTGCTTTAAATAGACACATTAATGTGTGAGAACAGACTATCATAATGACAGACTGTTATGAAAACCGAAAACAGAACTAGTTTTGTTATTACATTCGTTTATTTTTGTTTGATGCTTTGAATATTGTGGTCCAGTCTGTTCTTCTAATAATAAAGTATATTTTTACGAGTTGATCATGGATTGATATCAGTTAGAGAACCATTGAAAAACAGAGAGTACTGGGCATCTGCTGTTTCATCCTAGTTTGGGAATCATCGGCAGTTCGCACCCACTGGGAATCGAACCCAGGACCTTCATGAGCCACTAAATTGGGCCCCAGTGGCTGAATGGTAAACGAGCTTGCCTTGTAACCGGAAGCTCCTGGGTTCGAATCTCAGTGGGTGCGAACTGCCGATGATTCTCAAACTAGGATGAAACAGCAGCTGTCCAGTACTCTCTGTTTTTCAATGGTTCTCTAACTGACATTAATCCGTGATCAACTCGTAAAAACATAACTAACCCTTACAAACCAAACTATAGAAAATAAAGTATATAATAATTTATAAAATACAAACACTTTCTTAAGGAAAGTCAAAATTCTACATTTAGTTCAAGTATACTGCACTTTGACTGAAGTGAAAACATTTAATTGGTGGATGGTGAAAACACGGTCAAGAAACTGCCCAGCCTTCATAATTCATAAGTATTTCTTAAAAATTCGTTTGGTGTCCACAAAAATAAAGGATGCAAGTTACGAGTGAAGACAAAGTACATATAATGACATTAGATAATAGCAGCAAAGTACAAAATATCGATGTTGATTGTCTTCCAGAGAAAGGTCTTTGTAACGGAATAATTGCTTGGAAAATCCCTTCTAAACGATCTATTTACAGTATTTGATACATATTTGAATATTTCAACTAAATTTGTGATTGTTGTCATCTTTTCTACCAGGCTGTATATAGCTGTTCTAAAGTTTGGATATCACTTGGTGACAGTGCTTTCTTTTTGGCTTTGTTTTTGTTTAATCTTTGATTTATATGCTTCTCTTTGCGGTTGTGTAGTAGTGTTGGCAATGCGTTGTTTTACGTTTGTGATTTTATTTGAATGATATCAACGTTGGTATTAGGGATTTCAACCTTGGACTGTCTGCTGGAAGTGCCTGATGTGTTTGATTCTTGCCAACGGAGATTTGGTAGGAATAGTCTGTTTGATTCTCAGGCACTTCTTACACTAGATTATGGTTAATTCCCTTTGTTGTACAGTGCTTATTTTGCACGGGAGAGAACTTAAGACCCTATAACTACCCAGTGGTATTCGAGTTTTGATATGTTACTTTTGTTAAGTGGTACCACAGATTTTATTGCAAATAACTGCTTTTTTGCCGTCTCCAAGGCACTTGGAGACTGTGCGTAACTCAAGGAAGTATTTCTCAGCTAAACAGCGGAATGGAAAATTTGTTTTCTTGAGTTCAGACCACGACACTCTGACTGACATTTCTGAATGCGTAGGTGGGAGGTTTCAAGATGTTTGTCAAAAAGGCAAGAGAATTATCTAATGCCTTTTAAGTTTTATTAATCCACCAGTAGGCTTAGTTGTGTCGTGTCATTCCCTATCCTCTTTCCAAAAAGATTATCCTGAATCCATTAACGTTCACCAAGTAGCAAAAAACTATGACAAGATTAGAAGCAACACTGAATTCCATATAAATATATGAATCATAATTTACTATTGTATAGATCTCACGGGCCAGCAAACTTGCTGAAGAGGCAGGTGGCAGAGACAAGATATTAAGTGAACATAAAGAAGAAGGAGGGGATGAAAATAACCATCCAATCAACAACAGGCACCCATCACTATCAACAGAATAAATTTCAAGGAATTTACTTCCTTCACCTATTTAGGTAGCATCTTCTATACGGTTCAGAAACTTGACCAAAGCATCAAAAAAAGTACTTCCAACAGCCTGCTGCAGACCATTGCCAACAACTGCCTTCGCTAGGTTCATACTGAAGATCAGATAGTCAGAGAGAACTAGCAACAGGAAACTCTAGCAATGAACCAATCAAGAACCTACTGCTCAGTAAATCTGCCAACGAAAATGGAAATTGATTGAACACACACACACACACCATGGAGCCCGTCGAGCGACACCGTGCGTCCGGACGACGAGTGGGACCTGTGTGGAAAACTAATAGTCAGCCTTTGGTCCAAGGGTAACATGGAGGTGACGGCATAAGGAGGAGATGAGAAACTATTGTCAATAGTTGAGCAAGCTAGGAAGTACTGTAGAGAATTGGATGAAGCAGAGGTGTGCTGTTGAAGCCTTATGTTACACTGGGAACCCAGAGGAACAATATTAATATTGGGGACTAAAACATCATCCGCACTAAATTTTCTGCTGATAACACTGTCTGAAGTAGTCTCAGGTTGGCTGGCGGAAACTGGTGTAACAGATGATAAAAGATGAAATTAAAACCTGCCTCCGTGTGTGATTCAATCTACGATTACTCACATTACTAGTGTGTCACTTTGCTGGTTGAGCTAAAGATTCATTTACCAATTAGAAGCTCCTTTAACTCTAATCCTCAGCTGCAACGTGAACTGATTTTAAGTAACAGCCCAGTTAACACTGTCACAAAACTGGCTGTTACGTCAAACAGTTAAATCAAATTTATCCTGCCTGTGGCTGGCCGAGTAATAGGCCGCCCTTTTGTGCGTCGGTGGCACAGTGGTTAGGACTCTTGCCGACCATGCACATGGTCCGGGGTTCGAGCCCACGCCGGCGCACACCTGATATCTATGGTTGGCCTGCAAAATTTGGGCTACCGATATCCATGCTGAAAATTCCATACTTGTACCAAAAATACAGTGTGGAATCAAGCTGTAAATCAAAAATCAAAGTTAACGAATATCTAAACAACTTATCTCGTTTATATACATCCTTGCTTATCTAAATCACCAAGATGCTGCATTTCAATTATGAGTGCTTTTAGGTTACACTGCATATATTTCACTGACGATGCCTAGCTAGGACAATAAGCCTACAAAAACATCCCCATAAACTACTAATCTCCGTTATTTCAGAATATTGTATGGTACAATTCGATTTATTGCTTGAGGCAATCAAACTGTTTGATTTCTATTTTTTCTCTAAATGTATACATAATAGATTTGTATACTCATAACTTCACAACTTTGTAGCTATGGAAAACCATTGCCACAGCAGGTTTTTATATAAACACTAAATTGATGAAGGCAGCAAAGCGAAAATGGTGAGCTTTTATTATTCTGGATTGAACATAAATAATATATTAACTCACAATTTCCGAATTTATCAACACAAATTCAAGAAATAGAATTACAGAACAAAAAATCACCTACCTGTCTATCATGTCTACACTCATAACGGTTTTGATATTGTGGAAGACATTGAAAAATTGTTGTTCTTGAAAATAATTTACTGTCAGTTTCATTGTAAGCAGTATGATCAGAATGTGAAGAGTTTCTTCCTCTTTCTGTTGCACACAAGCGACTTTTAAAGTTTCCAGTTATTTGTTCACTTTCTTCGTGAAAATACCCAATGTCTTTATTTTCACTAGACATAACATTCACTTGTCGTTCTAACCAACTTGATGCATCAACAAATAACTTTTGACCTGTCCAAATAGCTTTGAGAATTTCATATGTGTGAAAAAATCTGTACACAATAATTAAACAGTCTAAAATTAGCAGACTTAAACGAATATGTGTTAAAGTCATTACTGGAATAGCTGAATGTTGATCAGAATACTTTATATAATCTTCTGAATTTCCATTAGCATTCCGTTTAATATACTCAATAAAGTTTTCAGAAATAAGTTTATATTCTTGATTGGGAGAATGTCTTGTAATCGCATCTTCTATAGGATTTAATGTTCCATCTATGTATTCCTCTAAATCATTCGTTGTCACGAAGACACGTTCTTGTCGTGTTTTATGTAGAAAAGGATTTTTTAAATTAATGGTTTGATGATTCGATTGATGTTTAATCTGAGATTGTCTGAGTTGGTCGTGTACTTCTGAAGATAAATAGAACATTGTAATATAGTGATTTGCAGGAGCGAATATCTTCTTTAGGCTGAAATTGAAAGCAGAAGGGAGTGAGAAAGGCATAACCCGCATAAATTTACTACTATTCATTGTCTAAAATTACATACACATACTACGAAAAGTGACTTACCGAACTAATGACAGTTAACAAGAGATTCTCGGCAGTTTTATTTAAACTTAAAGTTTTTTTTCAATCGGAAACATTTTCCTTGATAAAGGCTGAGCCTGAAATCATATATATATATATATGTTTCTGATTATAGCTTGGGCACAATTTCGTTTAGCTGATCAAAGACGTTTTCCTACAATCTTGTAAGTGAAATATTTGAACCAGAGTCTCTTTGTGGTTAAGTTGAGAAATTTCCAGAGGGTTATCAAGATCACTTCCCACTGAGAAATTGACATATTTTTTGAGCTAAACTATGGATGAATTATTTACCATTTTGAAACTTTACCTATAACTTATTAAATAGTCAGTAGAACAACTGGATCTTGTCTTTCCAACTCATATCATTTATAGGTACAACGTTTTTCCTTCTTTTTTTCCCTTTCTCTTTTTTTTCTTATGTGCTGCTTTTTTTCTTTCTTCCTTACAAACTCTATTTGAAACATTCTTCTTCATTCTTTCACACTCTGTATATCTCGACTTTTTTGGTACTGCTTACACCTGTAAATATGCTAGTACCTACTTTTCAAACACGTTCAAACACTGATTAATTTTGGCTTTGCTACCGACATGCCAATATGTTGTTTGTCAAAACGAACTGAGATTACCCTTAATCTATGTAGAATTTTATTCATTTTTAATGTACTAACTGGATGCAATACTGTAGTAAATTGCTGAGAATTCCATTCTGTATCACAAGTACTGTTTTGGAATAAAGCAAATTATTATTATCATTACAAATTTTCAGTTTTAAGGTAGAAGATTGAATGATTCACTTTTAGTACAGGCACACTTGCATGCTTTGTAACCAGAGTGCTTACTGGTGATTTTCTACTAACAACCGATCAATTTTTCAAGTGGAAGGTGCCTAGATAATAACACAAATTAACTTCTGAATAATGAAGTATTTTTAGATTGACTATACTATTATGCGGAATAAAATTAACTTATAATTTGACACTTTATGATAACGACACTATGTACCATATAAGTGTTATACATTGTTTGATGTGACGAAAGCATGGTGCTATAATGGTTCTAATACTTTTGTTATAAACCGTGACATTAAAAGGCTAAGGATAGTGAAAATTTCCTCTAGCTATAAAACTACTCATCATTTCCCTTCATCCTAAACATATCTGCTGCAAAATATACTATCCATAGTTGATTAGTTCCAAGTTTTTTGAAAGAATGGTATCAATTGGAGGACTACTGAGAAACAAAAATAGTACTAGACAGATGTTTTGTACTTGTTCAAAACGCCTCATCAGTACGCAGCCATGGTCTCACCACAGGCGAAATCCAGAACCTTCGGGTTACTAGGTGAGCTGACTTAGCACTCAGTCACTGACATAGCGTAGTGATGACAGTAGAAACTGATAGACCATTGGATCTTATCTCAGTGGGTGGATGGTTAAGGAGCTCACCGAGCAACCTAAATGTCTTGGCTTGCGTTCGACTTCCGATAAGGTCATGGTGGCGTGTTGCTGGAGGTTTTCAAACGAGGATTAAACTGCTGTCAAAACCACCTGGTTTTCAATAGTTCCCTAAATAATATCAATCCGTGATCAAACTTGAAACTAAACAAATCCTTACACCACCTGAAGGTAGCGTCTACTAGTCTGTTTTTCCTATATGAAATATTTGTGATTAGGTTGACAGAGAAAACAAATAATTTCAGCATGTTTAAGAAGGTAATCAGCAGTGTCCTATACACTGAAATATATAAGTAATCATATCACACTATTTCTCTGATAAAATGAACAAAACTGTGTTTCAGATAAACTGATGAATTACTACTCATTTACATCTTCAGATGACAGAATCATATGAATTCTTGTTTAAATTACATAATATTACAATACTCAATAATAATCCATTAGTTTCATATCCTAAGGGAAATTCGTATGATATGGAAATGAAATATGATTACTTCATATGTGTAGCCTACAGTTATATTTTTGTTAATTAAAATCTGAATAAGATTAGGCTTTCCTCTCACAGATACATATTACAGTGATATATTAGACATTTTTTGATTATTCTACTGACGAAAAATAAGTTATACTGAATTATGCTACTTAGGGTATATGCAGATAGTTTTACTTTTTTTAGGCAATAGAAAAAATGAGCAGATGGTGTTAGCACACAGCCTACAACTGTAACAAGTGCAGCTGCAACACTGAAGAGAAGAAAATAACAAGGAAGAAATTAGAAACAACAACAAAAAGTTTATTCCTTTTCATCGAAGGGTAGAAGTAGTGCTCATATCAGATTTCACTTAGTTGACAGATCACTTTATGTCAGATGGAGAGATTTAAAAGTTGAGAAGATTAGAGTATAGATTTATTGGCAAGGATCATAAAGGTTTCTTCACAGCCTTATAGGTAAACGCATATCCTGTTTTCATGATAGATTTACTACGTCATAAGTACCATAACTTTAACGCTGCTGACATTCTGTTATGTTTTTAGTACAAATAGTTGAAAATTGGTACTAATACTGCTTGATTTATGTAAAATCCAGATATTTGACTCTTTAATTTTACCTGATTTTAGTCTAATCGATGCTCATGCAATATAGAGATCATATTCAGGGTCTCAGTTATGACAGATCAGCTAGTCATTATGATGATTAAGAAACAAATCATGAGTGATTACGTTTTATCTGTCCAAGAGTCATGTGGTAATTTTAATTAAATATGATTCGACGAAAGTGAAGGATGACTACTCTTAGACACCGTGTCGGTGCATCAGAATCATTGGTCGATTAATTGAGAGATTCAGTGTTCACACAGCCACAGAAATCTTGTTTGAAACCACAACATATAGCTGATCTTAATCGTAGTGACAAACTTGATCTGGTAATGGCATTCCTGAGTTTTTCTGTGTCTGTGTTTTCTCTAACTGTGTAGTTACTAGGTACTGGTTATGATGACTTTATTCTGTGAGCGATAATATTCGATTGTATACTGAAAACAGCTGCCTGATAAATTTATTTGCAAATGATGGAGTGTAGTGATTTAATGTTATAATGAAACTATTGGTAGTAGCCAGCCAGATATAAGCTCCATTTTATGGAGTCTGTATATCGAAATCCATGATGCGTTTAGAAGATAGACTACGCGATTTTTTGACAATTTATCTTTGTAAGATACGCTGGTGCCATTGTGAACATAGACTAAATCGTCACTAAATAAGAATTTCGAGCGAAGTTCTCCCCGTGAATATTGTAATTTCACAGTATGTAAAACGTTTTGATTCCTACTTGTTGTCCTCTGATTTCATTACAGTCAGACTCTCGAACAGTTAAGTTAGTTCTCGCCATTCGTCGGGATTGATTACTGGTTAAATAAATCAGCATTCATTTTGCTGAAATGTTTCAGTGTATTTTCGCTAAAAAGAACAGTAACTTCTTAAAGTTTTCTATTTTGAATCCATTCGCCTGTCAGATTTAGTTATTACATGGATAAAAAAGTTACAAGTCTCAGTTAATTTAGACATTTTAATCAATTAAACAGTATATCGTTTATTGGTGACGGGAATGAGCTTCTTCATAGGTTTATGGCTGGTTGATCATCACTACCTTTTATAATCAGTATACATAAAAGCCTTGTCATTTTTTTAAATAAAATGACGAGGATATTTGCTTTCATTTCATTTCCATTTGTATGTATATTTGTTTGTTACATATTTCTGTCATGCGTTGTCACCTACTATCTTGGAGATTTAGAAACTTGCCTACTCACTGTTTTGCTTATAAATATATGAACAGTAATTAAATTTCATTTTTCATCATTTCTAAACTAATGTGATGTTTCTATTTCTTCGCTAACTAGATTCTGGCAGTTAACCAACACTTCTATTCTATCTGCGTTTATTTGGATAGGATATAGATGATATGCTTGACATACCTTGAACTGCCGACATCACATCGCCTTTGAATGAGTTAAAATTCTTCTTGGTGTGTCCTCAGTGTTACAATCAATGCAAAGTTCAGACCTTCTTTTACAGAATGATTGACAATTCTATTGAAGTTAAGTATTTTTCTTTTTCTTATGTTGTATATGTACTGTAGTATCCTCATGACAATACAATAAATCGCAGTAGTCTGACAATTTCATGATTGCATGAATACGTAACTTTTTAGTATCAGCTAGTCATAAATGACATTCCTTTTTTTACTTTTCATTATTTTCTGTTTAGTTTCGTTTCTTATGGATTCAAACTTATGTAGCTGCCTCATTCAGTATGTTTTAAGTGTTTACAGGCATTGTTAGGGGATATTTTATTTGCTTGGATGGAGGATTTCATCATGAGCTGACATCAGTTAGAGAATCACTGGAAAACCTAAAAGTACTGGACAGCTGTTTCGTCTTATTTAAGGACTTTTCATCAGTTTATTCAGAGTTTCCCAAAAGATAGACAGTTCTGCGATGAGTTGCTGCCTCACTGTGAAATGGTCTCGCTGTGTCATGAATTGACAGAACTTAGAATTCATAGGCTGGTCATTGGATAGGGTCCCAGAGGCTCAACGGTCTGTGAGCTTGGCTTGTAACCAGAAGCTCCTTGGTTCAAACCCCTGTGGTGGGTGCGTACTGATGAAGAGTCCCAAACTAGGACGAAACATCTGTCCGGTACTCTCTGCTGGGTTTTCCAATGGTTCTCTAGCTGATGTCAGCTCATGACGAAATCCCACATCCAATCAAACGAAATCCCTACAAAACCAATACCTTAAAATGCTTTGCAAATGTTTCACTAATCCTTAAACTAAAGAGAAAATTATGCCACAGATTATTGCAATAATGGGTTTTTAAACACAGGCCCAATTTTCTCACAAAACTGACATAGCTCAAAGAAGAATCAAAAATCAAGAAGTCGAGGTATTTGATCCTACTTTGGAGCATATAATCACTGTGTACTCATGACTTCATCAAAAGTTGAACAAAGAACTTTCAGATTACGACCAAATATCTTCAACTGTTCAATTATTGGTATAAGACAATGCAAAATTAAACACGCTCTTACACAGTATAAGAAGTGAAGTGCAGTTAAATAGCGTTACTTGTCAGTAAAAATGTAATTTTATGCGAAAGGAAAATAAAATGACATACCTTTCAAGCAGTCGTAATGGTAGCAGTTGAACTGAATCACTTTGATAAAAATTCATATAATTCATTAAAGTTACATAAGATGCTTTGATACCGGATCTTTGTTGAGCAATCTCATAAAATCTCCGCATACTATCCTGAAAATGAAGCTTAGTTGCTGAGTGAATCTTGGCATTTGAAAAGTGTTTAGGAGTTCTATCAAGATTATCTGAAGTATTTAGCATACGTTTAGCATACTGTAACCATCCAGAATGAAAAACAGAATTAAGCATATTTGAATAGACTTTGAAAGATTTAACTCTGCGAAAATCTATCTGCTGACTGACTTGTTCGTATATTTGATCAAATAAACTGCGTTGTTTATTAAAATGGTGACCTGCTAATTCATTAGTAGAAACCAAGGTATTCCCGTTTATATTATCAGTATTCTGAGCTATTGTAGTGTTCAACTGCCACTTGTCTAGTCTTGTTTTTACTAAATGTTTACCTTCTCTTAGAGCATCTGTTATTTCAACTGTCATAGCATGTTGACAAGCCAACTTCATGCGTTCAACATAATCAAGTTGCCTTTTTAATTCTTGTTCTGTGAATTCTTCAATCCAACGTGCTTCAGTTTGTAACCTTATAATTGGACCAATAAGGTGTGTTTGATCTAAATGTATTGTTGGCATTGATGTTACCGAGGAAGACGATGATCTATGCATATTTCTTTGCATTCTATGATTATAATCTAAAGACTCCTGACTTACTTTCGGCCAGTGTATCATACTATCAAATGTTGGCCTACTGGAAGGTTGTAAACTAAATATTAACGATACAGCAACACTGAATGTAAATAAAAAGGTATAAAATACACGGAATGCAAGGTGAGTGAATAAAAATATGCGTTTTAATTTTGAACTTTTAGTATTCCAGGCATTTTGATGCAACCAAGTTGAATGGCTTTTACCATCTTTAGTAACATCTTGACAACAGTGACGGTGACTTGGTACAATAGTAGGGTGATATAATGTTTGTCTCCCGGGAAGAAATGTTTGAATATAATCTTCACCTTTTCTTGAGGTTGCATAAAACAATGTATGATTATTTAGTTTCACGGGAAATGGATGCAGAAGTAATTGATGATATTGAAAGTCACTACTTTGGTCATTATTGCTGTTATCAACAAACTTCTGATATCCAACTGATATAGGATATCCTTTGTTTGATATAATGAAGTGTTTTATGCATACAAATGTAATTAATACTAGAAAATAAAGTAATCCGATTCCAATTGTGATAAATAATAAAGGACTGTATATGATCCACTGTGTCGATTCTTTATCTACACTCTTGTTTAACTGAACACCAACAAGTGAAGACTGAAAAGTATTTTCGTGTAACATTTTATCCACTGTTTGTTGGTTTATATAAGCGTTAGGTATTCTTACGGTAACATTTGTATCACAATCTTGAATAATTAAATCAAATAATACAATGGATTGGGTTGATAATAAAAATGATAATTTATCATATGGAATTCCTCTAATACTTTTAAGATCTATTTGATAGGTTAACTGAAATTGTTCAGTTTTGGAAGATTCTAAATAACTACTTTTTGACTGTGAACTGATAACAAGAATATCATGATTACTTAGAACAAAGTAGTTCGCGATCCACACGAGCTTGAAATTCAGATATGTTGGTGTTCCTGTTACATGACCTAAAGATTAAAAATATAAAATAAAACGGGTTAAAACTTGAAGTATCTTGGAGATAAATATGGATCCAAGTGGACCAAATTAACTGTGTACATTTAATTGGGTGTAAGCTGTCATAAACTTCGTTTCTTTCCGCAGAAGTGAATTATTCATTCAAGATTAAATAACTTGGAAATGTTACTTTTTAGTTCTTTGATATCAGTGTTATTTAAAAAACTCACCACAAATAATTTAAGATATCTGATGAATAATTTAAGTAATATATTTATTAGTATTTGTATCAAGTGAAACTTTGTTAAATGCCAATAAAATTCAAAATAATAGAGTTTATTTCAAACGTAAGAAGATGTAAGATAGTACATCATTTATAGGTCTGTAGATGAAAGTATTTCCTTTGTTTTTCTTACTGGTTATGTGGATACCGGTTAGGTGTTCCCCAATACAAATTGCCATCATTTGTCACCTGTAGTCAAAGTATAACGTTATAGAGAGTTATTACAAGAGGACAACTTGTAGATGCTTCACTTAGACGGTTGTCAAAAAGATTAGTCAATAGAAACTTCATGGTTTTTAAAGCATTGACTCACTTTTTGTCCAACAAATTTTATGTGTATATCCACACGAATTTCGTTTTATGATGACAATAAAAATCCCAAAAGTTGTCAGACAACCTGCTTCTCTATCGGATCAATTTAAATTATTTATTAAAAAAGCTTTGAATCCATAATTAATTTTTCTGTGTATAGTGAATATTAGTAAGATTTGTTTGAAAACTCCTGGATAAAAGTAAGGCAAATATCAAATAACCCTAAAGATGTTTTTAAAAGTCTACTGTTTACATAAAGGGAGTTGAAAACACTTTGTCGTTCACCTCTTTTGTCAATCCTATTTAGTATTTAATGATTCCGACTTGGAAGGTGGTTAACTCAAGTCAGGATCCACAAAAGACTTCTTGCGATTTTACCCTCATAACTATCTGAATTCTGACAGCTCAGAAATAAATTGAATTTCATAAGCAGGTTATGTATTGAGTGGTTTTTATACGCCTTCTAACTGCTATACAACTTGCTGTACTATACTGTGAATATGTTGTGTGAGTGTGTGTGTGAAGCGGATTGCTTAAGAATGGAAACTTTTCGCACAAATTCAACCAAGTGGTCAAATACTACATTAGGAGAAAGTATGTGTCGTTTGGTCCGGGGTTCGAGTCAAGGTCGGCACACACCTTTACACCTTTACGAAGAGGGAAGGTTGAGCCCGAAACTGGAAACCCCACCCTGAAAAAAACACCATAGTTACCGAAACTTCAAAGCTAAAGCTTGAAGCCCTATGTTCCACTGGGTACGCAAGGGGATTAAAAAATAGGTCACTTGAATCCAAAATAATCTGATAGGGTAGATCTATCTTATACTCACACATGTTTACCTGTTGCGGTTAATATATTTTCATGTTCCCCGAAATAATAATGAATTGTAAAGTGTTGAGACTTATTTACTAGTGAAAAATATTTTTCTATCGGCCTACAAATGTTATAGCCGGTAAAAAATGTAAACAGTCATACTTATGTAACACTAAATAAGTGTTAAGAAACCGAAAAAAGAACACCAACAATGATTTCTTGTCTTAAGAATTTCTTTACACATCAACCCACACTAGCATGCAAATTCCAGAAGTTATGTGAAAAGTCGGCTAATTTGAAAGCGTCTTTTCAATTCCTTATTATCTTATAAACCACTAATCATTATACGGAAGTTTATTTATTTATCGCTTATAATGTCTCACTGGTCAAACTGCTTAGTTGTTGAATGAAATTTTATTTCTTAAATTCTTTCATTATGACATTAACTTCCGTTGTCGGATACGGCTATAATGTTAATCTAAAGCAAACAAACAACTTATATTATGTAAAAAAAAGCATTTGTTGGATGGTTGTAGGATTTCATTCATGAAATATTTGTTGTTACTCTTATTATTATGACAACACAGTGAATTTCATTAATGCTGCGATGCATTGTGGTTATTTTGCCAAGACAAAAGGAATTTTTTGAATAAAATATCTTTAATTTTACATCAATCCGTATTGATTTTTATATATTTCTTCTTTTGGAATAGTTGTGCTAAGGATTTTATAATGAATATCATATTTTTCGTGGACTTTCTCTAGGGAAATCAGACTAACTGACGCTTTGCATACAGACAGATAATTGCTGTTATTCTCTTGAGTTCAAGTGGAACATCCAGACCCAACTGTACGCCTAAATTTCGTCCTTCTCCCTGCATTCCTGTGCATTTGGCCGTCATCTCCTATCACACGATCTACTCCATGTCACCTTCGTATTCCAAATTCATCGTTTCCCATTCGGTTTCCACTTAATGGTCTGCTTGGCGCATGGTGTCACTCAATGGCCCCCATAGTTTATGTTCTATCCACCTTAAATTCCCTTGTCATATCTGTTGAGGAAATGGTTCTCGGTTAGTTCGTTGCCTACTAGAGTTCCTGGTTGCTAATACCTTTTGGATACCTAATCCTCATACAAGCACACTAGTTTTCAGGTTAAGTCATGGATTGATATCAGTTAGAGAATCATTGAAAACCAGGAAGCACTGGACGGCTGTTTTATCATAGTTTGTGCCTCATCAAGAGTATGTACTCATTGGTTTTTGAATTCAGGGCTTTCTGGTTACACGGCAATACTGATGGAGTCACCATTGATGACATTCTTTAGTGGTCATGTTAAAATCACGAATTGCTAGAAGTTAGAAATCATAGGCCACTGCGTTAGGTCCCAGTGACTGAATGGTCTGAGAGTTGCCTTGTAACTGGAAGGCCCTGGTTTCGAAAATTAGTGGATGCATACTACTGATGAGTTCCAAACTAGGATGGAACAACTTTCCACTACTCCCTGGTTTTCAGTAGCTCTCTAATTGATTTCAAACTGTAGTCTAACCTGGAAAAAATAGAATCCCTACAAAAACCGTTTCTTGAACATTACCTTTTATAAGTTTTACAGGCGCTTTTAAGCAACGCTTAGTTTACTGCCTCAGAAAGTTTCAACCATGCAAATTTTACTTTCACTACTTCAGTGAGACTATAACCTGGATGAAATAAATACATGTTGAGGAATTGATTTTCTTTTACTACATTTCTTTACACAATTGAATCGCGTAAATAAACCATTTTCGACTGAAAACTGCTGTCTTGTTGAATTGTATTTTGCTTTATTTGTACCTTCACAGCTGTTGATTAAAAAAGTATATTACGACGTGAACACAGTTATTGTGAACTTCACACTGTAGTTGACACAGAAGATATCCTGATAATCAATGAAAGCGTCACAAGTTGAGCACACACTTCTGCGAAAACAAGCTCACCGAGAAAATCAGACTACCTAAATAAAATAAACTCGTACAAAATGACATGTTTTCTTATAATCAATGATTCTCTAGCTGATACCAATCCATGATCAGCTCGTAAAAACAAAAAAGTTAGTCCTTACAAACCAACTATAGAAAATATAATAAGAGGCAAGAAATTTCCATCCAGTTTGATGTGATTGTTTTATGTGTAATTAGTATTTTAGACGTTTTAGTTCACTAACACTGATTGATTATTGTTGATGCTGTGAATTTATGACAAAGTATACGAAAGGAAATGCATACCTAGATAAGAATTACAAAAGACACTTTTACTCTGGGATCATTTAATTTTTATCTTAAAGCATCTGGATTACTTTCAAGTCTGGTTTTTGCACTTAACTTTTCATGACTATTTTTTTTTTTGATTTACAGCTTGATTCCACACAGTATTTTTGGTACAAGTATGGAATTTTCGGCATGGATATCGGTAGCCCAAATTTTGCAGGCCGACCATAGATATCAGGTGTGCGCCGGTGTGGGCTCGAACCCCGGACCATGTGCATGGTCGGCGAGAGTCCTAACCACTATGCCACCGACTATATCAGTGACTATACGACAGCTAATTTATTAGGTGTCAATTTTATTTTCTCTATGGGAAATTTTGACATCATACAATGTAGTGATTAAAGTGATCACACTGATGCCATGATTTTAATTTGAAACATTTAGTAGTCAATTTCAATCATCGAACCAGTGGTCATATTTTTTTGTGAGAGGGGATATTTAACTGCTCAAAATAAATTGATGCCTATGAATTAAGAAAACTGGTATTCTTGTAAAGTTTTATCTTAAGAGTTTTGATGAATTCTAAGGCATGAGATGAAATATGCACTTCTAAGTGCAAGAATAAGTGTTTATTTACTTTCATAACTTAGCTACTGACATACATTTAGATCTGTTAATGTTTTTGACCTCTAATTAGATAAATAACTGCTTTGATATAAACACTGGAAACCAGAACTTAATGAACAGTTTGAGGCTTGCCAGCAGTGCTTATCCATGACGCCACTGGAGGTAGAATCCAGGACCTTCAGATAAGGAAACCGAGTTCCGGGTGTGTACCGTGAAGAACCCCAAACCAGGATGAAACAGCTCTCTGGTACTCTTTGATTTTTAGCGGCTATTTAAATAATATCAGTTCGTGGTCAATCTTGAAATCAAGCACATGCATCCAAACCAGTACTTAGAGTAGTACCGGTATATTAATTCACAAACAACGCTAATAAACGTGAGATACTTGACTCCGAAATTAACTTCCACTTTTTTTCAACTTGAAGATGTTGCTTTTGTTAGAAATCACAGCAGTGGCAACACAATGCAAAAACATGACTAAGTTATTTCTACCTATTTCATGTATAAATTTTCCCGTTTTATTCGGCGGATTTTCTGGAAGTTCTGCTCGTTACATATTATGCCCAGTGACCAAATATTCTAAGATATTTTGTATATTAGACTTGTAAAGCTTTTAGACATAGCTTAAAGCTTAATCTGGTTTGTTGGGTTTTACGTCATCGTACATCGACGTTAAAGGGTACATAGTTTCTATTTAATGTAGGCATAATTTCAAAACTCCAAAGTTTATTTT